TCTTTTTTTTTTTTTTTTTTTTGAAGTTTTGGGCCAATGCCTTGCAATCTAACTGGGGAGCATTAGAAGTTAGGCACTGTGGCTTCTAGCTGCATACCTTTGTTCATCCTCAACAAAAAAGGCCAGGAGGCCTAAACATAAAAGTGTCCACAAACAGATGTCACCGCCAGTCATGTAGAGCCCAAGAAGTAGCCTCTGGCGCAGTCCGAAGAACAGGTGGTTAGTCTACCCTATGAATAACTGCTGCCTTTAGTCTTCCTATGAACCAGGACTGCAATATCAAATTCTCATTCCCACCCCCACTACTGCAATTCCTGAGCAGGGTGCCGATCTCCCGAGTGAGTTTCTCTCCCAGGGGAGATAGGGAGGTGTGTGCAAAGTGAAGCAGGGACCAACCAAACCCAATTTGTTTTGAGAAAATTGAGGGACGTGGATTGTCATGTACTGTGTAAAGTGCCAGGTGCAGTGTGGTCCTGACCTGATGGGAGTCTATAGATGCTAATTCAATCTAAAATGGTAAATATGAATAATTTTAAATGCTTTGAATGGGAGTCACTTGAGATGCTCCTTCTTGCACCCGCAGTTCCCTTTCCCCCACATTTGTGTGGCTTGCACTCTATATAGCAAATTGACACCTTGAAAATGTTACCAGTGTGATGCAATTTCATGTTCTTGAAAGCAGTGTTCTCGGGAGGCCTATTACAGAAATTTAATCTCTAGAGAAACAGATCAGATACCATTAAGGGAATGAAATACAAATATTCACTGTGACTTCCTGGAGAACGTCTGTTTTGGATCTACAACATGATATATAACTTATAAAGCAGTTATCAAATAAGAATATTATTGTCACACACCAACAATTTTCTTTGGAACAAAAACAACCCCCAAGTGCATTTAACATCTACTTCAGCCTGAACTGAAAAATAAGCCTGGCTTTGTTTCCTGTGTAAGTCAGGGCAGGTTCATTATTGTTCTTTTCCTATTCCTGAATGTCAGCATTCACAAAATGACACTCCTCTCTGTCTTTTGCATAACTATAGTAGACAGCGCCAACACCTTACCTAGAGGTGGCTAGAATGAGCCTCACAAGCAGTGAATTCACCTTTAGGAGAGGACAGCTTTAAATTCAAGCCAGAGCTCTGTAGCAGCATTGCTATTACAGGCTGCTGAGATGAGACGCTAATTTAGCTCATCTCCTGGGTAGCCTACCCCCACCTGCTCTTTGTCTCAGCTGGCCCACCTCAAGGTTACTCTCCCGCCCCCTGGAATCAGGGAAGCAGACAATATGTAAAGCAGGATTCTAAATTTCTGTTCAGATGAAGTTTCAGCCACAGGGGGACCACGAGAGGGATTCTGAAGCACAAGTTGGTAGAACCTAGGGAGTGAGTCACAAGAAACTTCCAGACTTCATGGCTAGGGACAGATGTTCAAAAAGCCTGGGCCTGAATTGATTCAATCTTTGCAGGTTAGTTTAACCTGGCATGGCTAAACTGGTTTGTAACCATACAGGCATCCCCTCTGGACTGAAAAAAATGCAGGCACATGCCTGCACTGACTCAGGCTAGAAGCTGGGGGTGCTAGAGCAGCCCTCCCTTCCTTTCGACAGTGCTGACCTGAGGGCTGATGGCCCCCTTCCTGAGCAGCCCAGCCGGGAATTGATAACAGTGTTTTATCACCCTTAACTCAGTGTTTATCACCCCATTAAGAAAACAATGGAGAGATATTACCAGCTACCTGTTGATTCTGCCTTTGTCCTGTCTGCCACAGCACAGACTGTAGCCAGCATGTGATCTCCTAGCTAATGCTGAGAGGTGTCTGTGTAAGGCAGAGGGGATGAAGGAATCCCTGCTTAGGAGGGAGTGGTGACGGGGGGGAAGCCAGGCAGATGCCTGCAGTCTCTGCCGGAGCTCCAGCCAGGGAGCAGAGGGAAGGAGCCAGCCCTGCTGTGAAGCAGAGAGCCTCGCCCACCCAGAGAGCATGCTGGGATGCTGGGGGAGTCTGGTTTAACTTAAACTAGCAAGGGGTCTGGAACAGACATTGCATAAACTGGTTTGACCCAAAATCAGTTAAGTCTGATACCACATTCAAACAGGTTTATCTCAAACTGGTTTCAGCCATTTTCAAACTGATTTGTGTGCATTCAACATCTGTTCTGTTACAGGTTTAAACCAGTTTCTGATCACTTAAACCAGTTTAGGTGTAATGTCTGTTCCTAGCCTAACTCAGTTTCCACATAACAGCAAGGCTCCTTAAGCCGACAACACAGTGATATTGTCGACAGACAGAAGAATACATCCCCACAATACACAGAGTAGCGTAGGGGACCCTCAGCCCTACAATAGCTTCTTTGCACTATCCTGGCAATGTAATCTGGCATTCATTTTAGGCATTTTATATTGTCAGGGTGGTTATGCTAAGGCTTCTTTATGTGGAGAATCAGGCTCATGATATCTCCTTCATTATAGCCTAGTGTATTCAGCTTACAGCTGTAATCTGGTTTGCAGAGCAGGCCTAGAAGAGTACATTTCACAATGAAGTGAACTTTAAAAAAAATCCTCTGCTTCAGGAGTCTATTACTTCCACCACAGGTAGCTACATTGGTTTGAATTTGCTGAAACACAATCTCCCCTTCCTGCTAAAGAGGCATACAAAGCTCTGTCATGGCTCTTCCTGGGCCTAAGCTACCAGCAAGGTGGCAATATAGACCCCAGCAAGCTCTTAAGGGGAGCATAAGGAAGGATATCCTTTGATGCAGCTGTACAGTAGGTACATGCCCAGAATCCCCTCCAAGACAACCAGGCTGACACTGGGGATAGGAGCATTCCTGGAATCGGCCCTGCATTATGCTTGGTGGCTCCTGTTGCTCTTTTCATCAACTTGTGGAAACTGGGGCAAATTCTAGTACGTTGTACAAGACACTATGCGTGCATCCCGATGAGCGTACACGTGTATTCCCCTGGGGAGAAACAGCAGTGGCACATAGCTGTGCCGCTGCTACTTGTCCCCATGGAACGCTTCTGCATGCATACTCTTGGCATGCAGCAAAATTGGCCCAGGTGGGGTAGGGGCTGGTCCCAGCAGCCTTAACTGGGGGCCTCCTACGGTTGCAGCAGCAGCAATCTGGGTGTGTGGAGCCCAGGCGGCAGCCAGAGTATGGCTCTGGCTTGCCAGGCACTGGTTTCAGGTGGCACATACTGCTGCATGTGCACCATCCTACTTTTTTTAAAACATTTTTTTTGTTTTGTTTAGATACTGGGATTTTCTGGAACCTTTTCACATGCATTTTGAGGTGCCTCAAAAGCCAGTGAGGTGCTGCAAAGCGTATGTTCCCACTTTTCTGGATGCGCCGTATGGTGGTACTTTTTCAGCAACATACTACGGGTCATTTCTGTACAACATGCCATGGTGCATGAAATATTAATCTTTCCATCCCTCTTCTCTTTGCTGAACCTAGATCAGGTTTCCTGAGTTAACTGTCTTCTCCCCATTTCTGGTCACGTATCACGGGAGATTTGGTAGGTTTTGAAAATAAAGAAAATTTATTATTAACGACTATTACTAGAGCACACTATACTATTGATCTGATCTCATTTCCTTGAGAGGACATTTCAATCCCAAATCATCCTCCAACATGTCACCTTTTTATCTAATTTTAGTCGGCGCATGTGACAACAGACTGAGTGTAAATGGTTATCATTAACTCAACCTGTCTGGGAAATGTGCATGTTTGACAGTGTAATCCTGCTGCCATTCATATCAATGGGAAAACTTCCATTAATTTCAATGGACGCAGAATGAGTTACTTAAATTTTAATGTTCAAGCATCAAGTTAATCCATCAACCTTTTAAAGAGTTTTCTTTTAAAAGGCCTGCTTCCCAACTGTCTCTATTTACTCTGGTACTGCTTGACAAATCTACTTTGTTTTTTAAAATACTTAAAAAAAAAAAAAAAAAAAAATCAAATCTCATTTTAGCAACTTGCCAATTACAATGTTTCGATGAAACGTGTCACATGTGGGCAGAGTGGCACCTGCCCCAGTCTGCCCACCTTCCTCCCACACAGCAGCACCAGTGCCTGCCTGCCTGGATACCTGCCCGGTGCACCATGCCACTCTGCCTGTCCCTTGGACTCTAGCCCGGGACTTTTGACCAACCAGCTGGGACCAGCGTATGGGATCCAGGTGTGCCCCAGCCAAACTGGGCCATGGGGTCACCCTACTTACCACGCTAGGCCTGATCCTCACATATGACACTGTACTTCCATGGAGCTAAGCAAAATTGCACTGACTTACGTTATCTGAGGACCTGTCCTACGGATTTGTTATTTTTTCTCTATTCATTTGCTGAAGTCTTAAATTTCAAGCTCGTTCCCATGACAAGCTAACAATCCCCAGAGGCAGAGATAAAGGCTCGGTATTCTCTCTAAGCCTTATCCAAAGCCAGTTGGAGTCAACAGGGATCTCTACTAACTTCAGTGGGCTGTGAGGTTAGACCGCATGCCAATGTATACAGTATACTGCCAGCGAGCAGTGCTATGTCCATGTCTCCAAATGTATGACAGAAAAAGTCATTATTACGGGAGAAGCAATGAAGGATAAACAGACAACTACATCCAACATCCAACCCAGTTCGCTTGATATCGTCTGTGTTGTATGCTGTACTTGGAAGGCTTAATATTTTACTTGGGTGTAGCCGTGTTGGCTCAGGACATTGACAGACACGGTTCTTTGGGCAAATCTGATATCTTTTATTAGACCAACTGAAATAGCCGGAAAAAAATTTCTTAGCACGCTTTTGGGTTTAAAAGGCAAAGGGTTTTTAAACCCAAAAGCTTGCTAAGAAAATGTTTTCCAACTATTTCAGTTACTCTAATAAAAGATACCAGATTCACCCAAAGAACCTTGTCTGCCTCTAATATTGTACGTGAGTGAAACATACAGCAAGCATGGAAAGGGGGGGCTATGTGTACCGATTAAAGATGGATAAGTTGTTGATCATATATCCATTTAAAACAAGAATTTAATCAATTAATGGGGGGAGGGTGTTCATTCACTGACCTCAAGCAGGCATATCTATACAGACCACATCTCCAAAACATGGGCATATCTCCCACCTGCCCAGCACCCCCGCTTCTCCCCATTTTAAGAGCAATTAGACTTTTATTTGGCACAGCCTGATTTTTCTTCCAGGCACACGGATAAGCACACAGCTTTGACTTGTAATGTGCAAAAGATTTTGCATTTTTAATTTTTTGTACTTCCTTACTTTTGTAATGTCATTTACTGACCATTTTCTGTTTAGCTTAATTTTATAGCAAGCAGAACGCACTTCAGCCAAGTGTGAAACTTGAATGCCTCTGGACCAAGAAGACGTCACAATGAGGAAGGCAGAAATGGAACAGTCACAATCTTATATGACAGTAGCAGCTGCTTCTGAAGACGACTCAATCCTCTACACCGGCAGAGCAGCACTTTTGCTTCTATTTTATCCCAGGTACAATCTTCAGCTCCCTGATCAATTTTTAACAAGATGAGAACAACGGTTCCCCATATACCCAAACCATCCTCTAGCTGCAAATGCCTAAGCACTCCACATTTTTTTTTTACAATTATGAATTATTTACTTTAATAAAACAAGGGTTTGGATCATCCTCTTATATATATAGGTGCAAGTATGATGGGGTCCAGACAGCGGTTCCTAGCTACATCAGCTGAGAATCTGACCCCTGGCATCAAGTTATTTTAGAGCCAGATGCATAAGGAAAATTATAGAAAATGTTGGAGGAGCTGGGAAACTTTCTAACAGACTCAGAGAGTGTTATTCATCAGCAACATTGCTATTTATATATGCCTGAAATTTCTTTTGCATATTCAGAGCAAGCCATGCTTAGGCCGTGTGTGCTTTTAGAATTATTAAGCGTGCCCTATGTATATAATTGCTACTTAATCAGTTATGAACTGTGTTCAGTCACGAACCTCTGCATCATGCTAAAAGGTTGACACGTTCCGTGCCTTTTGCACTAAACATGAGGAGGGAGAAGCAGCAAAAGGACAGCAAGTCATTAACAAAATGGCATTAGGAAGGTAACACTGCTTAAAACAGAAGCAAAACTCTGATACAAAAGGCAACTGATTTACACTTTTTGAGCCCACAGAGGCTTGGAGAAAATAATCAGCACTTTCACTGGGCTTGGATGGACAAAACCCCCAAAGATCCTTATTGCCCATAAAAAGCAGTTTTTATATTCCATTCTCCCGGACACACAGCTTTGTTCATTTTTATCTGCAGCAAACAATGACAAAAATACGCATCCCAAAAAACAAACAGTGAAGAGAGAGAGAGAAAGAGCACTGTGTAGATGAAAGGTTTGATTAAAGGCACAGTCCCTTTACTCTCAGTATCAAAGTTGCTTTCTTTACATTTGGACAGAACAGTTGGCTGTTAGTAAAATATTACCCTGTAAATGCATATCATATTATGTTACTTTTGGTGTCAGGGCATTTGGTTTTCCTAAAATATAAATGCCTGAGACTTTCAATGCATCAAGCTGGGAGGGAATTATTTTAAGAATTAATGTGTCCCCCAATAGATCTATTTAAATTATCCTCCCATGCTCTCCCAACTAATGATTAAAGAGGTGAACTTCCAATCTCTTAAGGAGACAATGAAAATATAAGAATGCAGGAACTGAAGCAGATAGAGTCATCTTTATTTCCCTGTAGACTCTGACAACGTGTGTGCAGGGAGAGGAAGCAGGTTTGTGAGGATGATGGAATTTCTGCTTTGGTGCCATAGAAGAATCTCTGAAATCTTTGCAGTCTTTAGCTGAATCTCAGGTATCTCAGCCCTAATGTCACCGTGCCTGTCACTTCAAGCTAATGATATAGCTCTTGCTATTCTGTTAGGGAAAGTTTCCACTTTGTCCATCAGCACAGAACGAAGATGAGCAGAAGCACGCGTACAAACAATGATCTGAGACTACAAAAAAGAAGAAAACTTAAGTCTTTGTCTGTTCCTTTTGTATAAGCATATGTAAAGCTATAAGGGGAAACAGAGGTACAGTGAGACATGGCTGAATTTCACCCATAAATATGGATTATGTGGACAGAAAACACACGTTCTGGGCATAAACTGTGTATTGCAAAGTGTCACACTGAGGAAACCCCAGGCAATAATTTCACACTAAGAGCTGAAGTCAGGAGCTGAAATCTACTTTTGCAATTTTTGTGTCCAACTGCAAAGTTCTCGTTAAAAAGCCTTGCAAGTTCCAAATGCAAAACTATGAATAATCCAGGGAGCCGGGGCCTCTGTCCCAGTATACTGTACCAAACACCCCCACGCGCACACACTGAGCAAGTCACAGAATAAGAAAAAGAAGCACTCCTCACCTATATATTATTGATTACAAGGTGCAATCCATTAAAAATAGCTGGGGGAGGGAGGAAGAAGGAAAGCAGCAACAGACCATCAACCCAGCTACACAGTACTTTTCTCCCTCTCTCCACTGACAGGTGACTCAGGTGACAATTTTAGGCATGTACACCAAGACGAACAAAAATCATCATCATTAGCATCATCAGCAAATAAGACAATTACAACTGTAGAATTCAAATCCATATCTGTTTTCAACTGAGGAAAATAAACAGCATTACCTGTTCTTGTTGTTGGGCTTGTTTCCCTGATGCATTTTGCTCCTTGGCTGTAGTCATGCTCACCTATTTGTGCCCACTGCAGTGACAAACGGGATTTTTACAGAGTGTGTGTGTGTGTGTGTG